TTAATCTTGTTTTCCAATGCGTTGTAGCCAAATCTAGGAGCAAAAAAATTGCCCTAGTTGAAGATTCAGGTGGCTTGGCTTATTTTTTTGACAAGTAGCACGTATAGTAGGCCGACAAGTGGCGCTATCATCCTTGCATTTTATTTTCCTTTTTGTATAAATTTGATATGTATATGTTTCCTATGAGGATATAGTTTTGATTGATTCACTTGGATGAAGGGATATTTCTTTCTTTTTTTTAACTAGTTGGTATATACGTGTCTCGCATATGGACTATTTTAGATGTCAAATCATATATACTCTCCAATGTTCCCAACGTCAATGCACTCTATCACAAAAACATTAATCATTAAGAAATTTGTTATAACATTGCTTAATGGACAATACTATTAGGATCTAATTTAATCATCTAATTTATTATGTTCATTAGATTGATAATGCGTCTCAATACAATGAATAAAATCTACTATCAATCTAAGGACAACAACTTCAATCATTAGAATTTTTCAAAACCAAATGACAAACGCTATTCCACCATTTTCCAATCTTCTACTTTCAAAACTATTCAAAACTTAGAAGGGTAAAACTACACTTTCCTTTCAAAAGCTACCACCATCACAAAACTTTGTTGTCTTCAACCAAAACTACTTCAAATTTTGCAAGCTTATTTTGAACTTAATCTTTGTTAGATATAGTTAGAAATTTTCATTTTTTTTTTCCAAAATTGACACTATGTTATGATCAAAAACTTTAGATTTCATGTCTTACATCATACCAATATTGATACAAGTACTACAAACAAAGTTGAATTTAGAATCACCCTTCCATAAAGAATACCCCTTCGTAAATCCCTAAGGAGCCATCAACATGATCTAGGACCCATTGTGACATTCAAGTCTTGATGACCTCTCTCTCGTGTAATCAACCAAAAATAACCCTCAAGACAACAAAAACATCAAGAATTAATAATTTCAATGTTAAATATCGGTATCCATACACATTCATACAAAATAAGTTACAGAACACCTTTGAAGATAAGTGTTTGCCCGTAAGTGAGGATGTTGGTGAGGGGTTAAAAGAGGGAATTGAGGTCTTTGACAATGGAGTCATCAAGAGACAGGTTGATTAGTATGGATCACCCATTAAACTTGGTAGTCACAGTGATTCAACTCCCAGTATTTGTAAAGTCACATTTCCCTTTCACCATTTTGTCAGTTTTTTTTTTCACAATATGTGGAAGAGACACACTGCATAAGTTAAAGAAAAATAAGTTACATTAATTATTATAGAGACACAATAAAATCAGAATTATTTACAGCAACTACTGGGTTAATTAGGAGTTATGCTCTTTTGTCTCTCTAACTTTTAAATTTGACGTAGTGGAGAAAGTGGTAAGAATGTGATTAATAACACACCCTTGAGCTTACATGTAATTGATTAAAATTTCATGTGTGTAAGGTTTATATTTATTCATTCACATTTAGGGATTAAAATGGATTAATTACATTATTGAAGGATGAAAAGGGAAACGAAAAGTTTTTCAACTATAGTGACTTTTTAGAGTAGTATAGATTAATTAGAGAGTGAAAATGCAGAAGCGGATTAAAATCGAAAATTATATGTTTTTGTCACAGTTTAGAAGTAACACCAATTTGAGAGACAAGATCCCTACCTACATCCACATGAACAGCTTTTCTTTATTCCTTTCTCTCTAAATTAAAAAACAGTTACAACATATTTATAATAATCTTGATCCTAGTCTAGCTAGCAAACTTAGTCCTAATAAATCTGATACATCAAATCCTAATAAACTTCCTAACTTACCAAATACTGATAAAATTCTTTTACCAGAAGAACACGACACAACATGGGCCTTCCACATATACCCATTTTGTGCCGTGAGCTGTTCCCTGTCACGAGACATTCCTTGTCTCGTATCCCCCAACCTATTATTCAACGTTGACCACCAACAGTCATGTAAACCTAGTGAATATGAACCATCCACTATTTTTAACATTTTCTCACCCAACTCCCTCTCAGAATCCTTCTCTATTCACTCTCTTCCTACCTTTTTTCCCTTTTTTTTTATATAGTTTCTAATCTTTTATTCCATATCATTGAAGAAGAAAAGCCTCATGACATGAGGGATCTGGAGGGGATTGTTGAGTTTATTGAGGTCCTTCCGGAGACCATATTCAACTTTCTTGGTGTAACAAAAAAAGTTGTACATTAGCAAATCTTGATTTGGAATTTTCATTTCTTATAACACAAAAACGTCTCAGGTCATTTAGATTCGACATCTTATACTAAGATTTATGTTTTAATTTTTTTAACTATAATAAATATTTTAATCATTTACATATATTTTAGCCACATAAAAATGACGTGTTTTGCACAAATGTACCCTAACCTCTTTATAACGAAAAATCACTCTACAACCACTCGTATTGGTTAAACTAAGACTTAATCATTAAAATTCTTATTCAAACTATCTTAGTTGGTTCTGAATTATATCTCCTGCTTGAAAATGAAGAATAAAAATCTTATCCCCGCGCCCTAGAAGGATAATAAAACACTCAAAAGCCCAGCAAGAAATTAATAATGGGAATGATTTGTTTGGGGTGCAAGGGGTCATAATCCTACCAACTAGTACCGTCCGTGGGGCTAGCATTATTGATAAATTGAGACATATTGATGTCCCATATGTTTAAAGCATGCATAAAGCCATCATTAAAGGCACAAACCAAAGAGAAAAGCAAGATCATGGTAATCTACAAATATAACAAGATATTGGCTTTCAATGCTTTTTTTTTTTTTTTGGGGGGGTTTAAATTACACATGAACTCCCTGAAATTTGTCACTTAATCACCTATATTTCTTCACATTTGAAATATTATACTTATATCATCAATGATTTATGTGCGTGTAACACATAGTCCCTATTGCCAGTCTTCGTTAAGGTAGTCATTAAAAATTCAACAATCTCCATTAAAAAATTAGTTTTTGAGGATTTTAAAAAGAGAACTCATGATGTTAAATAATATGTTTTTTTGTTACTTACGACTTTGTTAGAACATACTAATTAGGATATTATTAAAACAAATTGGTTATTTGTTTGAGTATTGGTGTTAATCCAAATATATGGTGTGGCAGGACATAAGTTTTGGTACATAAATTTGTTTTTAAAAAATATATATGTTATTATTAGGGTTCTTGGATTTTTTACTTTTTATTTTTTTGAAATATATGTTATGTTCCATCCCTTTTTTTGGTTTCCTTATTACACTATTTGTTAGTAAATTGATATCAAATAAAAATGGAAAACACTCACTGTTACAGAATTTTTAACTGATAACAAATAAATATCTACTCTGTTTCATGAAATTTTAACGGCTACGTTAACGGAGATTGGCGATAGGGGCTATATATTACACTCACACAAACCTCATAAAATATAAGTATAATATATCAAATATAAGAGGATGTTGGTGATTAAATAGCAAAACTTTTAACAGAACACTAAGCACTGCTGGACCACACGACTCAGTGACTGGGTTTCACTGCATTTACTATGATTTGAATGCATCATGAACTATGAGAAACAAAATGGTATAGACTGTGGGCATGTGAGGAAATAGTGACTTGTGAGTCAAATGCATACATATTGTTTGTTCTTTTCTAAATCCATTCTTTCTTGTTCCCCTCTCTAGAGATTGTAGAATCAGAATTAAGCATTTTTATGGGTGCCTGACAAGTGAAAAGTCATATTGCTTGTAAAGTTTCGATGTTATTACAACAAAGTTTCTGAAAATTTGACCGAAACTTTGTCTTCTCTAGAGTTCCAGTCTTCCACAAAGATTTGCTGCCAAAAAAAAAAAACTGATTGGGTTGATACTTGATAGGTCTCAATTGAGTTGCAGGAAGAGAGCTACAATATAGTGTCACAGATCTGGCTGAAAGTTACTTTTGCTTCACAGTTTTTATTTATTTATATAAATTTCTTGAAATAATAGAGAGCAATCATAGCGAAGATTACTCGATTGCAACTTAAACACGAACGATTCTGATGGAATCTGGTACATTAGTGCTAGTATCATTACACTTAAAAGAGTGCAACACGAGTATTTCTCAAAGGAATTACCCATTCTAATAATATTCTTGTCCAAACATGCTTAACATGAATGGTTTGAACTGCGAAAACTACTCTCTTTATGCGAAGGTGGCTGAAGTACTGGACACCCTTCTTTTTATGCACAGCAACCCTTCAAGGAAAGACCAGTTTGTTACTGTGGTTGAGTACTACTATCAAGGATAAGTGTATCAGAGTATACAAATGTCTTTTGAATCTTTGGGCGTATGTCTCATTGATCTTTGAACATTTTGGTGAAGATTCAGGCAAGTTTGTGATAAGCGTTTTCTTGGAGCTGCAAAGATATGGATGAAGGACTGTATAAAGTATTGTATTTGTTGTGTGGAGGGGTTTGTTGACTTTGTTCTTTCATGTAAGTTGGGGGTGAAAGTGCCATGTGGTGAGCTCAGAGGTCTGCACATGGCTTCTCCAATTTCCAAGTTTTGAGCCTCTAAACTGAAGGGAGGGACCAGGGTTTTGGAGTTTTCAAGAGAATCAGGTAAAGAGTAAAACCACCCAGTTGATTTTAAAAAAAAAACCCAGTTTTTTAAGGAACAGTGAAAGATTGGGAAGTGTGAATCTGTTAAGACTTAAGAGAGAAATAACCCAGCAATCTAGTTTCAGAACCCTAGTTTCTTCCTGGCAAACCAGTTCAGGTATATCTGTTTCCTCAAATCACTAAGCACAGTACAGCCCAGCTTTAAACTGGGTTTTTTCCTCTCTTCTTGTTCATTACTTTTTCATATACATCTGTATCTTTAGCTTCAACTCTTTGCTGCATAGTAAAATCCATATTTTCCTTTAATGGACATCTTATCATTACTCTGCTTTCCACTTGTTTCAATCCACTGAAGGAAAGTTCCTCTCTTTTCCTACTTGTTTGTCCAATCAAAACCCCTCTATATCTGACTATAAAGACTTTCTCTCTCCAATCCATGACATTGAAAAACAGCAGTTGAGGAACCATCACATGTCTTCTCCTATGCGTATCCTGAAAAACCCAATACCATGGATTGCTGTTCTTGTTCCCATTTGGTTATGTGCTGGTTTTTCAGGTCATTGGTCTTTCTCTCTCCTCATCACAGTAGTTATGATTTTATCTACTGTTTTCTTCACATTCTCAAAGCATAAACAAGTCCTTGTGAGCAAACCAGTGCAAGATGAAACTCTCAGCTCTGAAAAGGCATTTACACGTCATGCGGAAGAAGAAGTATCAAAACAAGAGCCTGATCAAAGTGAGACTATTATGGAGACTAAGGAAGCCCAAGAAAATGAAGATGTTCATGTTCATAATAACTATTTGGTTAGATCACCGGAATTATATTCAGAAAGTGAAACCATTGGTCACTCAAGTGAAGATTCAGATGTTGACTGGCCTTATTCAGGCAATCTCGGTCCGAGCCCCGACTGCTCCAACGGTTCGATTTCCGACGAGGAAAGCCTGATCGAAATTGCTCTTCCAAGTGGGCACTACGTTAGTCCAAAAGAAGAAGAACCCAAATTTAATTTGCTGCAAAAGTTGCCAGATTTCTCATCGGATACCATTTTCCAGCAAGATGGACTAGTGGAGCTTTTAGCAGAGATCAATGAGGAAGAAAATCTGATAGAGATTGACATATCAATGGGCTCCATCAAGTGCTCAAGGCTTGAGATTGAAGCATGATGAGTTGATGCTTTTTTTTTCTTAGTGTTCCTTCAATATTTTTATGGTTTTTGAATCCTCATGGATTTGTTTCTCAAGAATTTAGGATGACAAACTCAATATGCTTTGTTTTTCAATGTAAAAATTGCCATAAAATGTGGAGTTTTTGCTCTTTGGCCTACAAAACTTTGGATTCCCAATTAAAGCACTTTGTACTGTGGCTCTTTGTTTTCAGTTAATGCTCATCAAGTGTCAGAAGTTTAAAGGCCATGGCCAATAATGGCATCCCACTTGAATTCTTTGTCTCCTAATCCTTCTTTTGCTGTCCATTTGGCACCTAATACTTTTTTTTTTTTCAACGGCCAAGGTTGTTCTGTCCAATTTATATACACCTTGACTATTCTTCTTTCCGATCCGGTCAAAGATAAGTCATCCACAATAAGACTACGGTATTTAAATCAAAACATCCTAATTTCCAAGATTTGGCACCTAATACTGAATAATGTTATTTAAATATAAAAATTTAACTTAATTTATTGACTTAACGATGTGTTTTTATTGTAATCGTTGGATTAATACCAAATTTTAATATTTGATGAGTCTCAAAGTCAATCTAAAAATTATAATGAATTATACCAACAAATTAAGTCAAAATAGCATCGACTCCCAAATATTTGCAGACTTAACAATTATTTTGAATCTCATAAGACCATGTTGTAATTTTTAATTAAAAATATTACATTTTTAACCATTCAATTTCATTTTGGTAAGAAATATATGAGAAGCGGACACAACAAGAAGATAGTTCTATCACAACTGGAGCGCCAAGAGTTTATTTAGGTGTGCAACATAAAACTATTTCATGCAATTAAGATTACGTGCATTTAGCCTAACTCAGACCCAATAGTAATCGGAGTTTTATTTAGGGGTGCAATTTGAGTTGGGCAATCCGATTTCAACCCGAGTCCAACCTGAAAAAATTAGGACTTGAATAAGAGTTTTTAATACTTGGGTTAGACTTAGGTCAAAAAATTTCAACCCGAATTCAATTTGGACGGACTCAGGTTGACCCATCAGATTCACGGGTTGAACTGAATATTAAAATCGAGCTCAACCTGAATTAATAATTGAGTTCAACCCAAATTACTATTATATAAATATCATTTTTGAATGTTATGTTTGTGTTATGTGAATCTGGTTGTTGGTTGTTAAATTATGTTTTATATTTGTGTTATATTTGAAATTGTTGGTTGTTAAATTATATAATATATTTGAGTTATATTTGAAGTTGTTGGTTGTTAAATTATTTGAATATTATGTAATATATGTATCAGGTTTAGAATATTAACCCGAAATCAGTCAGTAAAGTAATTCAAAATCATTAACCCGAATTCAACCCGAACCCGTCTGAATTAAACTCGGGCAATAATTGGGTTGAGTTTATCAACCCGAGGTACGGTTAGGATTAGAGTTGAAGATTATATACTTAAAATTAGATTAGAATTGACTGTTTAACCGGCCGAATTGCACCCCTAGTTTTATTGCACCGGACCGTAGAATGGGTCATGGGTCGTTGATTAGTAAAAGGACCGAGACGGGCTAGTCCGCACAAAGAAATTACTGTCCACAATTTAGTGTATCAGGCCGATTTCATTGGGTCTTTAGTGACTGATCCATAAGACTGGCTTTAATGAATTTATTTTTGAGAAATTTAGAAGTCGGTCCTCTCTTATATGGACTTAAGTCTGTCAAGAAAATTTATTTTTTATGAAGTCTAATTTTTATCAATTTCATCATACTATCCCTTTCCTTTAAAAGTGAAATAAAAATAAAATTAAAAACTCCTAAATCTTACAAGTTTGACTAATATTAAAATCTTTACTCTCTCATTTCTATCTATATCCATATATAGATTAAGAATTTGACTAACATTAAAAAAAAATTTCTCTCTTATCTATATATATATATATAGGTTATATATATATATATATAGTACAATTTTGTTCAATTGATTTTGTTGAAAATATATATATATAGTAATATTAAAAATAAAAAATAATAACATTCAAATACAAAAAAAAAATTATCATTTGGACGCAAAAAATAATACATTTAAACACAAAAAAATAGTAACATTTAAACATAAAAAAAATTGAAACATTCAATATTTAATATTTTGAAAAAATACTAATAGTAACATGTTCAACAAAAATATTAACATGTTCAACAAAAATAGTAACATGCTTAACAAAAATTGTAACATACTTAACAATAATTATTTCTCTCAAATTCAAACGCAAAAAATAGTACCATTTAAATACAAAAAATAGTAATATTCAAAAAAAAAATAATAACATTAAATATTAATATTTAAGAAAATAATAGTAGTAACATGCTCAACAAAAATAGTAACATGCTCAAAAATAATAGTACATGAACAGTAATATACTTAACAAAAGCAGTAACATGAACAGTAACATAATAAAAAAAATAGTAACATGAATTTGAATTTTACTATTAAAATTCATAGTAACTTTTTTTCTGTATTTGAATGTTATTATTATTTTTTTAATGTTACTATATATATATATATATATATATATATATATAACCTATATATGGATATAGATAGATAAGAGAGAGAAAAAATTTTAATGTTAATACTCTTAACCTATATATGGATATAGATAAATATGAGAGAGAAAAAATTAACTTTCTTTCAAGGGTATTTTTGAGATAAAAAAAAAATTGGACTTAAGTCATTACAAATAATTTTAAACATGAACTTAGTCTCTTATGAGTTTCCTTGCATAACTTATCTCCAAATAAGTACAGATGACTCACTTCCAATTTTCACTTTATTTTTTAATTTATGCGTCATTGCTTACCGGTCGAACCACCTTGTTATTTTAATCGGGCTAGTCTATAAAGTTTATTGGCCAAAAAAAAGCCCACAGACATACTTGTTTAGCCCATCCGACTGCCCACAGGTCCCTAAGGGATGACAGGGTCGGCTATGGCCCAATGAGTTACCAGATAGATGGATTAGCCTATGGGTCACGGGCACAACGACATGTATATTACACCCGAATATAATAGTGATATACGATTGCATATAGAAAGGATACTGCAGCCAGCCAGCGACATACATCGGTATGATACATAGGGCATTTAAACAAAAAGAGCTACTCGGATTTAGATTATTTTTTAGCTTGCTTAACTTCGTTCAATTTCTTATACAAGCCGAACATGAATATAATTTTAAGCTCGTTTTAATACAAATTCAACCCGAGCCCGAGCTATTTCGTTGGATCATATAAACACTGTTTTTTTTTTTTTCAAGTAGGGATTTAATTTATATACCTCTCTATGTTACCCGTCAACAACACACTCATGACCCATTGACTCACGTGAGCTTGAGCCTAAACTCAAATTCAAGCTCACATTAATAATAAACGAGCTTAGACAAGCTAAGTTTGAGCACATCAAAACTTAAATGAGCCAACTTATGAGTCGAACTTGAACAACTTATTTTTTTAACGAGTTAAGCCTTAACAAAATTTTAAGCTCGGCATCCGAGTTCGAGCTGAGATTGTACTGATCTTAAAAATTACGAGTTGAGCCCGAATACATCAAAACTTGCCAAAGTTCGGCTCAGTTAACACACCCAAATGATACAGTTGATTTATCGGAACAATCTTTTACAACTCAACCCATCAGAATCTCACCCATAATACATAACTTTTACAAGAGCCAAATTTATTCATTCCTCACAAAAGTAAACCCTGCATATTCCACATTCTGATACATAAAACACAGTGATCACACTAATATTCACACCCATATCAGTTTCCATCTGCATTCAAGCACAAGGAGTGAAAAAGAAAATGTCATCAAGCCTATCGTTGCTATCTGAATTGCCACCATACACCACCAGTCCCTCTTGGCCATCGCGTTGTCCGGCCGCAAACGCGCACCACCCTCGAGCCCCCGGATGACCACCGGAGTCCGACCCATCCTCCCATCGTTTCCACACTAATGTCTCTGTGTCCAATGCATAGACATCCCCAGTAAATTTCCCTGCACCAAGGTGACCTAAATCACTAGGATCCACTTCTCCACCATATATGAATATGTACTTTCCAATCCCAACTGTTGAAAATACGCTTCGAGCTGTTGGCATTTCGCCACTTGTCTCCACTTGGACCCACTTTTCATCAACAGGATCAAAATAATGAACATCATCAAGCTCAACACCAGAGAAACCATACACAACCCAAATTTTTCCTAGGGCCACAGCAAGCCCAGTTCCACCTCTACCTTTACAATTCTCCCCAGGCACAGGAAACTTGAGCCACTTTTGATCAACAACATCATAAGCCCATAGATCATTAAGCCGGCCAGAGACACCACAACCACCGAAGACATACAGGCGCCGATCATCGGCAGTGGTCGAGTGGTAGCTCCGGTGAGCGGGACCGGTGTCCCCATTAGAGAGTAGGGTCCACTTGTTTGCACAAGTGTCAAAAGAGTATAACTCATTGAGCTCCTTGTGTGTAGCATCCCTACCACCAAACACATAAATGGTGTCGCCAATAGCTGCCATAGTGACACCAATACGGGGAGGGGGAATGTCGCCGGTTCCACCAGCAACAGACCACGTTAGATCATTCAGATCAAACACATACAGATCGTTATCGACCGGGACACGTGGCTTGAATTCACCTCCGAAAGCATAAACCTTTTGTCCAACTATGGTTATGGCATGGGAGCTTCTTGCTCCAGGTCCAATTCCTTTCTGATCCAACTGCATAATATGAATTCCGTGTTAAACTACCCATCAATTTCATGGATTTCTAACAAACTTAGCATATGCTTAAAAGGTCTATCACAGTAATAGGGGAAGAGAGGAAAAAGACGATTCGATCAATCAAGTTGATAATTCTTAACACGATTCACCAATTTTACACCAAATTATCAAGTATGGCTTAGCCTTAAAAGTTCGATTCACAACTGGATTGAGTACCCAAAACCTGGCTAGGACTTGATTATACACAATTGCTACGCAACACATCATGAACCCGACTATATTTTAATATGATGCAACTTAGACACGAACGACACATCTATTATCAGCTTAAGTTGTTAGTGAAGCTGTAAAATCTAAAGGTGACACGTGAAGGCGATCCGACCGTCAACAAAGAGTCGGTGACAGTCCAAGCCTAACAGTGCAGTTAAGGAACATTAGTTCGAATAGGTAAGGATGTACGTATTTGAATTTTAAGTCCACGCACACCAGTAATCTAAAAATAGGCCAAACAGAACCGAATTAGCTAAGAACCATTCAGAATAACCTAACTTACCTAATAACCATATATACAACAATTCCATCCTATTGGTGTTTCTCTTATTCAAAAAACCACAATATTAACGTTGAAAACTGATCCAATCCGTCATACCCTCTTTGTGAATTGACTAATCTTTTTAGAGGACATCTAAATCTGATTACAATTCAGGAAGGTAAGAACATGAACGAGGTTTGATCCCGCAACACTATATTGTTGCATATTGCTACAGAGTGAACCCACAAATTCTATGGTATGACCCAGAAGGTGAATCAAAAGTACCCTGACCATCACAGTTCATCCGTGAAGATCATAATTTCAATGGCCTCTGTGTGTGTGTTTGAGAGAGAGAGAGAGAGAGATTTCAACACCATCTTGAATTCAAAATAGAAAAGAAAATTAGACAAGGAAAACTAAGAGAGAACAAACCTTAACCCATTTGCCTTGTGCCTCAGCCATCTTCGCCTAAAAGACAGTTTGATTTGATTCACTGCTACTACACCGAAAACTCCTATGGTTGCCTTGCCTAGATACTCTCTACTGTGGTTTAAGGTCTACTTATCTCTGCAACTGGTTGCAATAGCCCTCAAAGTTTGCATTAATTACAATTTACAATCTATCCTCACGCATAATTTTGTTAACTCTGGGGCTTAAATGGACTTTTGGCAATGCTTAGACGTGGATTTGAAATAAATAATTTTTTGATGCCTATTTTTTTTTTTTTTGAAAGATCTTACCATGCAAAATATCATTACCTCGGAAAGTGTTTGATACAATTATTAAATAAAAAAAGTCTTTAACTCGAGAGGAGGACAGGTTACCCATCTCAATGGCACGAGTCATGCGTGGCATCTTTAAATTTAAATAGCATTATTCTATTTGTAATATTAGCATGTTAACGTCAATTCGCAAGTTCCAAGTTTTTAATTTGTCTTTTTAACATATTAAAATTAGCAAGTGGGTAGGTTTAATAATGCATTATAGGTCATCCATTGTAACATATGACCAAGTTCTGTCTACTACAGGCCACTTCTAAGGTGGTTTAATCTGGTTTGATATTAATAAAATTTTGGGTCGATATAATGACATCCAGCAATTCACCACCAATCTCATCCAACTTGGTGCTCATCTGTACTCCTCATTCGAGACGAGACAATTTATGCGTATTTCAATTAATTTTATTCTTGGTTCAGTTAAAGGCAAATCATTAATGTCAGACAAGAGTATTCATGAGTGATAAAACTCTCATCGTCTAGTTTCAAAAAGTTGTTAATATTCAAATTCATGAGGTCTAAGTTTACAACTCGTCTTTGTTACTACTTAAGTTACTTTTAGTGCTCTCCTCGTCATCCTAAGTTGTAGAATCTAAAGGTTAAAAAATTAATGTGAAATCATAGGATTTTGTGTCACGTTTTAAACTCGTAAGGACCTAGGTGACATTCATTTGGAACTTGATGGGATAGAAAGTGTAATTTTCACCAGACAAGAAGGAAAGAGAAAGAAGACAAGGAGAGTTTGCAGTCACCTTCTATTGCAAATAGAGCATCCGTTTCGACATCCAATTTACTCGAGAAACAATAATACAAATTGTGTTAGTTGAATATGTTCACATTCATAATCTTTTAATACAAAAATACAAATTCTTTTATCACGGTCGACTTCAAGATCTCTATATAAACTTTTGTGAAACTAAACACAACTAAATAGTGGATGATTATTGATCCAATTATAAAAAATGGACTTTACTTAAATTTATGAAAGGTGATATATCTCGGAAAAAGTTGATGGATTATCATTCAACATTCGTTGGGTAGTTCAAATGATAACAATGATAAACTGTAAACTTAGACATCCTGAATTTAAATTTTAACAACTCTTTGGAGTTAGGCCATGAAAGATTTATTTTTTACCCTAATCCGAATGCAGATATATCTATTTGTTGTTGACATAATGATGTGGTTTTATAGAAATCATTGGATCAAGAGCAATACTATTGACACCTAATTTACTGACATACTTCACTATGACTTTTAGATTAAATGTGAGTTCTATCAAATATTAGAACTTAGTGTTGATCCAATAATTTCACAGAAGTCACATCATTATATCAGTAAATTAAATCAAATTTTTAGATCCAGATAGTATTACTCTTAGATCAACACCAAGTTTCAATATTTAATGGGGGCTACAATCAATTCAAATGTCATAGTGAATCACGTCAATAAATTAAATTTCAATAACAATGCTCATAACTAAAACAACACATAGCGATATTAAAACATGAAATAAATTTTATTTAAACCAAATTTACTGGGTAATAAATACATATGGTATATGTTGGCTTTAGCTACATTCAAAATTTTCTTCCTTAATTCGAAATCCCTTCAAACATGGAAAAGAAAACCACATAGCAACAATGCAAAAATAACAGAAGACCACAAGGTACATGTGGGCTTGATCAGGAAAGGTAAGGGCGATGAACCCGAATAGTTGCCATCAGGGTAATAAGTGTAAGGCATGGGAGGTGCATATTGGCAGCACTGAACAGGAACTGGTGGGCAGTTGCCTTCAGCCGGAGGCGACGGCGGGTACTCCGGTGGCGGTGGCGGTTGATAAGAAGGGTATCCTGACGGTGGTGGTGGTGGTGGTGGTTGAAGGTGGCAGGGGTACTGGCATAAAGAGCAGTTTGTACAATCATTGGGTGGAGTCATGCCATCACCATCAACTTCTTTTGTTACTGCACAGTTGATATGAGAGATGAACATGCAAAGTGGTAGCAGGAACATAAGCTTAGTCAAACTCATCTTCATGGCCACCTGAAAAATTTTCTGTGAGAGAGAGAGAGGGGTGAGAGATGATGGAGAGGTTGTGTATATCTATCACCTTCAATTGTGCATGTAAGTGTGTCATTTTCTCTCCTGATGTGCTCTTGGCAATGCCACATAAACACAAACAATGACACATGGCTTAGCAATGTGGCAATTGAAGTGTTGGTAGGAAGTTTTGACTTATTTGCATGGATTGGCACACAAACAAAACAGAAGCTGAGAGGAAACTACTGTGAATATGTTTAGATTTAACTCGGTTGTTATTGAGTCAAAAGTTGGGTTCAAGGCCGAGTTTGGATTCGAGTTGAACCTAATTCCCGAGTTTGAATTCTTACTCAAACTCTAGAATTGATGAAATTTCTCAATTTTGGATACTTGGTGCCATGCCAATTTCCCTTTTCTGTCAGAAAATCACACTCCTAGAAAAATGATCTTACATGAAAAAAAACCATCTGTAGTGCAAATTTATTATTATATACCACCGTCACCATCACCATCACTATTCGCCATAGTCACCGGAGCCACCCTTAGGCTACGTGCCCCCCTTAATTTTTTTTGTAAAATTTATAAATATTAAATTGTGGCCACCTTATTATTGTATTCTAGTAATATCGATTTGAATAGAACCCTATCAAAATCATTGTTAATTTTTTGAACAATGTTATTGAGACTTTATTTAAGAACTTAATGCATTGTGATATTAATAATGAGTCTCAATATTTAATAAACTTCAATATCTATCCAATGGTTACAAACAAATCATTAGGTCTCCACTAATTAAATATCAAATTTGTTGCAACTAATATTATTGTTAGCTTTTAAACACGTTTCAGACATATCTGAATATGTTTTGAACATATTAAGGTTATTTTGTTATTTTTTATAAATTGTAAGGTTATTTCGTTATTTTATAAAATAGTGTATCATTATGTAGTAAACTATAGGATCATAATGGAAGATTGTTAACATGATTTTATATATAAAAAAAATATTGTTGATAAAATTGACTCGTAATTCTTGCAAATAATAAAACATCGTAGTGACAACAATTAGTCTCATTCTTGGTAAGAAGTTTGAATTATTTTTTATTTGTTCATGTTATGTATATCAGTCAATTTTTAATCTAGTATGTTTACTGAACTTTTAAGTATTAAATATAATTTCAATAAATATGAATTTATGAACTTCTACGATCAATTGAAAAAATAAATTAATGTGTTCTAATGTGTTCACCATAAATTTTTTCCTAACTCCGCCTCTAGTCATCGCCAGTGCCACTGTTGCCCATCAATGTCGGTGTCACTGCCACCACTCCACCACCATTGGTGGGTGTATGTGTGTATATTGGGAGTTATATTAATAACCCTGATACATAAAAATATATTTTATTGACCAAGTAAATGCATTTTTTTTATATAGTGCTTTTTATTTAGGTGTTTTAATTAATATATTCAAACAATATGCATTCAATAAAAATATTTTTCTTAGAAATTACTTTTAATAAGTACTTTTCGAATTTTATATCTTCCCGAATGCCACCTTGTTTTTGTGATTGGCTGAGAGGAACCTAACTTTCTATGTGTAATATATACATCACCTTGAGGGAAAATAATACACTTACATGCAAATTTCTTACACTATTATCATACTCGAATTTGTACCTACTACTTCTGATGAATAGTATTTCATAAATTCTATCCAAAAACCCATATTTTAGATGTCATAGATATTAGGGGTGTTAAAATATGATATGACTCGCTAACACGACATAAAATTAGAGGATTTTAGAGTCACTCGTTTAATAAACGAATGGACTGGATACAACACGATTAATAAATAAATCGGGTGTGGTGAAGCTAATTATGAAAAATACATGACACGACTCGTTTATATATCAATTATACACGACATGAACCTAATATGATATTATTCATTAGAGATGAATTAATAAACAAATCAAGTATGAGTAGATTATTTTTTTACACGAAACCGTTAAAACGTGACACCAACTCACTTCACCTGACACGATCGACAAATCTACCATAGATTGAGAAAAGATAGTTTGTACTATTTTTAATTAGGTTTTAAAGTAACCGAGTTGAGCCAAGTATCATTTTGTTTGAGCCACATTCGTTCGTTTGCAACGAAATAGAAATATTCGGACTTGGTTCAAGATTGTGATGAGTTTTAAATATCGTGTTTACTTTATGCTTGTTATTTTTTTTTTTCAACCTTGAACTCAACTTGGCTGGTTTTGAAACATCTATGAGCACTGTGTACACATTTCAATTTCATCAGGCAATGTGAAATTAAGTCACTGCATTTACACTAGCCCACAAATTGTTATACTTGATAGGATGAGGAGACATCCACAAGCATTTCCCCATTTAAATAGATTTTCATTTCATTGTTGTTAAAAAAGAATAACACTTTTTGGACCTATAATCTCGGGACCTCGTCAATGAATCTATTTGGAGGTAACTGAAAACTTATTTTTTTGGAGGTTTCAAAGAAAAAAAAGTCAAGTCCATTTGGACCCATCAAATTTTTAAGGAAAAATAGATTTTATCAACACCAAGGAAGAGCTGAAAAATAGGATTTATCCATCGACTTCAAAGAAAAAGTCAATTTTTTCGAAAACACTGCAAACGATTCCAAATTCTTTTTTAACTCTTTAACTTTTTCATTTCACTATTCAAACTTTTATTTCGTAC